GAGATTTACCAAAATTTGGGAGGAGAAAGTTTGTACCTCCATTCTAGCCCCCCAAAACTCTAAAGGTAAAATTATCCCCTGCTAATTTTTCATATTGTATTATTTTCTTGGGTATTGGCTTTTTAAAAGACTCATATTTTCATATTTCATATTCAGTTCAGTTCAATTTTCATATTTTTAGGAATCAATATTTATGTGGGATTTTTTTAAGTATAAATTAGACAGAAAAGAGATGGATTTTAGTTTATCCATATAGTAACCTGAATACAATCTCTTGACTTGTATTTTTGCTCCCAAATATTTTGGGTTATTTTTCTTTATACCACATGGTTCAGAAATATGATCAGCTCCAGAAGCCATTTCACACAATTAATTTGGTTTATAAGTCAAACCCTAATGCCTTTCTAAGTTTATTATAAAATATTTAAACCTTGTAACCAGGTACATAAAGTTCATAATTTGAATTTTTTCACTTAATGTTATATCCTTAAAGCTTTTTTTGTTACAAATAAAATTTTAAATACATCAAAAAACATATTAATGAACAGACATTTTTATGGTGAATAAATTTATCTTAATTTTAGTTTTTCTGATGTTTCTAAATTATGAATATAATACATTATAAACATTTTTTCAACTGTGTGTAAAAAATCTGGAGGGAAATACTCCAAAATACTATATTTATGTTAGGATATTTTCTTTTTTCTACTTGTCCGTATTTTTGAGATTATTATCATGAGAATATTTTCATAATGATAAATTTTAAATACAACTAGGCATAGAATCAAAGAAAATAGAAATGTTTAAAAAACAAAACTTCTAAAAATATGTAAGCTCACATAATTTTCATAGATGTTTTAAAGACATCTTTACTAAGCCACAAAGAAAATATTCTAGATTATGGTGGTTTATATTGGAAATCACAAGCTATGATTTCTCCACTTCGTAGATTGCCTAATACTAGAGCACAATTCATGTTTGCCGAATAAATAATATTTTATGGTGAAAAAGCTTTTATTTAGCTTTGCGTTCATTAACTGATTAAGCAAGATATGTCACAATGAGCATCACTAGGGTATGAGGCAAGTTTGTTGGTTTTTTTTTTGGTGCTTATATAACATATAGATTCAGAATTCATATCTACATGTAAAAGCCCTTAATCAAGGAGAAACCTGTTTACATAAGCAGATTGAACATTCAGCAGAAGCAAGATACAGAGCTTAATGTTTGTCTTCCCTAAATGCAAAGTAATGACTTGTGTTGGAGATTGACACTCATTGATAATGCGTCTATCATTTTACAGATTTAGTCAGTGCTTTTAATATCAGTCCTAACAAAACTAAACTTTTAGTCTAAAAAGTTCTTTATACACTGTTGAGTCACTTTGACTTCAATTTCAGACTCCTCATACTTCAAATGCCAACTTGTCCTAATACATTGGAAAGAATGTTGAGATTTATGGTGCTAATTTAAGAAATAGAGCCCTTCTACTGAGAAAAGAGTTTTCTCATATCAACAGGAGATAAAAAATGACTTAGTGTTGATATAAGAATTTCAGTCATTTGTAGGAGAGGTTGCACAATTATTCTTCCCTTAAATTTGTTTCCAATAAATTAAATATGTGACATCTCTATAACAACACTCAAAAGCACTAAAACATCTAAAATAGTAAAAGATCACCAAACTTTAGCTCCCACTTAATTTCCACTCAGGAATCACTATCATAGCATTTCTTTTGTTCAGCTGTTCTGTCTGCCAAGAGCAAAACCATAGTAAGAATGAACATAATTTTGGGTAAAAGAAATAAAAAAGGAAAAGCTTAGAAAAAAGAAAAAGCTTGGTAGAACAAACACTCCACCCCACCCCCATCCCCCCCAGAAAAAGAGGACAATTACCATGCGACAGCTAGGCTACCATAGCAAGAGGCTCTGGGTAGTCTGTCTCAGGGGTCTGAACAATAGAGCTGTCAGTGTGTGGTGGACCCATTTGGATTCAGGCTGAACTGTGTCATTTCTTGAAGACCTTTCTAATAGCATGATCTTGTGATTATTCATGGACGAAACTCTTCTGTGTCATCTACAAAATTTGACCTCTACAGCTTTAGCTTTATGGAAAAAGTGAAACTGGAAAAATTGATTTTCCAGGCAATGATTTCAGAAGGAAAAATATGTATGTGATGTCTTGCAATTAAGGTGCAATAAAACAAGCTTTTCTTCACCTAAGAGGTATTTTCATGGATTCAGATTAAAGTATATATAAATACTTACACACATATACATTACTGAAGTATCTGAAGGGAGAGTTAACATTTGAAGAGCACACGTAGTTAATGATATCTTACATGAATTCAAAGCAAGAGAAGTCAGTGTGAACAACCTTTGAATTGGAAAAAAAAAAAAAAGGCAGGTTGAAATGGCCTCAGTAATTATTTCGGCTGAATAAAGTCCAAAGCCAAGAAAGAAGTTCCAAAGATTTTTACAGAACCCATAGGACTCGACACAATTTATAAGCAGTGAAGTGTTGGGAAGAATCGTGGCTATGTATTTAAATTAAAATATAACAACCAGTAGAAACATTATTCTGGCTGTAGTCATCATGCACAATCCACCTTCACCAACTTTGTGAAGCAACTAAAAAGAAAACCAAAAACTTTTTCTATAGTTATTCTAGTAATTTTGATCAGCTATAACTAGTGTATGAGAACATACATTTTCTTCTAAGATACTTTGTCAGGCCCTTTATTTACCAGCCAGTAAATATTCCTTATATTTACATATCAATTAATCTTCTACCTTAGTTCTCAGAAGTATGAATGCAACTGGATGGGCCAAAGACAGTGCCAAGCTTTTCACACGGCCCCTTATTTATTAATCACACGTATGAAACACCTAAGAGATTTTGCTAGTGAAGTGTAGCACTTAGGTTGAAATCCTGGCATGGTTCACTGCCACAGGGATGAAATGTAGAGCACCCCAGGGACCAAGCTTTTTTCCCAGCATGTTAAGGCCTGTTGTAACATTATTTTAGCTTTTGCTGTCTGTTCAATACAAGCAAGTATATAAGCAAGTAGTGAATTTAATTCATATTTGTCCTTGGCAAGTTTCCTTTGCCCTGCACCCCTCTCGACTACTTAGAGATTCACCCTAGCTGCCTCTTCCAACTCTAGTCTGAGGAGTGTCCTTTGTTGCCCTGGCTCCCCACCACATTTACCCAGGAAAGGCCAAAACAAATAGCACTTTTGACAGACATTACAAAATGTCTGTCACTTTGCCAGGGGCTCCAGCAGACTCACAAGCCCTCAGGGGGTTTCTAGGGGTGAGCTGAGCCTCATATACAAATCTCCAGACTTTCTGGAGCTCTCTGCTGCTATGGATCAATGCTCTTCTTGTAGGTAGGAGGTGAAGATAATTTCAGGATGACTCTTCTGGCTCGTTTACCAAGCTTGCCTATGGGTCTCTGTCTGAGTATATGAGAAGCAGAGACAATGTCCCTTCAAGAGGAGCCAGGTAGGTAAATAAGTGGCTGCCCAGTCTCACCAGAAAAGCAACAGGACTCCAGATGCACTGGGTTATGCCTGTCCACTAAAACCCATGGTGTAATAATTTTAAGTCACGTTGGACTTTATTAAATAACAATGGAAAATCACCAGAGGGCTTTGAGAAGAGGAGATGTGTTTTTAAAAGGTTATTCTGGCTGCTCTATAGAATACAGATCAAAGAGGATAAGAATGGAAGTGAGGGGATGAGTCCAGCGTCCACTGTAGTGGTGTAGGTAAGAGAAGATGGTGGCTTGGTCTGAGGGACTGGCATGTGGGCAATGTCAATAGGAAAACAGTGCTCCAGTTCAGAAGAGTTTCTCTGAGGACCTTCTTTGTGGCAATAATCATACAGCAGAGCTTATCACAAAAGCCACCCCCAAATACAGCTGTGTTATCTCTGTGTAACACTGTGTCTATTAGCTAGCCCCTCCAGGCTTCAACTTTCTCTTCCATAAAATAATGGCTAATAGTAGTACTTTTGCCTCTGAGGTTATTTTGAGAATGAAAAATATCAATACCTATAAAGCTCTCGGAACAGGGTTTTACATGTAGAGTACAAATAAATACAGCCATTGTTATTAACTTTATTACAAAATGACAAATGGGAGGGCATAAATCAAAGTCTTTCAGTCACTCTAATATAACATGACGGATAAAAAGACAACCTTGCTTTACTGCACCGGTAAATATCTGATCTATGATGAGCTAGTCCTCCTAATTACTGACTCTGGCCTTGCAGCACTATGAATGTCTCTATTGAACAAAATTTGGTTTAGCTCATGGCTGATTCCTGCCCTCAGAGTCAAAACACCGGAGTCTTTGAAAGACACAAGCAAGATTTTGTTATCCTAACAGAGTTATCCTTGCAGGGAGAAATTAGAGTATTTCTTCCCTTCTCTCCTTGAGTCCTACAGGATCTCTGATAGTGCCCATGTCTCTTCCATGGCTCCAGCTCTTGCTAGTAGCACCCTCATCCCTTGCCCGGCGATCACTGTTCCACCACTTAGCAAGGTGCTGGGTTTTCCTCTGAGTCCAGCTGCTGGTTCCTGGTAACCACACATTCATATGTCCTACAGTCTGAAGGCGGTCAGAACTTCTCTGAGTTGCCTTCACCAACCCTTGTCTAGCTTCTCTGTTTTCTGTCACCTCGGTAATCAAGCCCCTGTATTAATCCTCTTATTTGAAACTTTGAGGGTGGTTTCTGTTTTCCTGGCAAGATGCTGAATGATAGAACATTCATGGCATCAGTATATTCATGGAGTTGATAAAGCAGAACACATTGGCAAAGATCAGAGCCCGCTATTCATAGAATTACATAAACATTTGGAGGCAGGAAATCTCATAGGTGGATGGCGAGGGGAATACTTTATCTACCATGAGCTCCCACAATAATTTTAAATAATGCTTAAACTTTTGTTATAAAGATAATAGCCACTTATTTTAGAAAAAAAACAGAGAAGTGTCAAAAATAAAACCTTTTTTATTAGTTACTATTAATATACCTTTCCTGTATTGTACTTGGGTACTTGACAGTAGTACTTAGGGTAGGGGACAAGGGGAAGCAGTATTCATATTTAACCAATTAAATTTCAGTTTGTTAGATCTGAGCTATTTAAGAGAGCATACATACCAACTTAACATTAATTATATGATGGCAGAGTTTGAGAGAGGTGGGGAGGAGAGGAATGAGGATTTATTAAGCCTCTTTTGAACCCCTTGCCTGCTGAATAAAAGACCAGCAGGAGGCGGTGACAGTTACTGAGGAGGAACAAGCAGGCTCTGTAATCCAGGAGCTTTCTGCTCAGATGAACAAGAAAATACAGAGAGAGAGAGATCGTTCCTTCCAGGGGCAGAATAGATATATTCCTTTGAAATACACTGAGGTACGCAACCTCATATTCCACCTTAATTCCTAAATAATTTCTCTTCAGAGACACTCTCGAGCTTTGTCTTGTTATCCATGTGCATAGAACATTCCTTGTACATTGTATATAAGAATACCAGCTCACGTGGCTGTAATTAAATCTTACCAATTAATTGTATTCTTCATGGTATTTGATAAATCCCAAAGACCTCAAAAATATACATAATTAAATATACAAGAATCACTCAATTTGAAAGAACTTACCTCAAAAAATATAAAATATTCTAGAACTTGCAAGAATGTAGAGTTTATCACATCTGTCATTTAGCCAACCAGGAAAGTCTATAAGCCAACCAATAATCATTAATTCATCTATAAAACTCATCATTAAGCTGCATTCCTTAGTATCTCTTCATTACTTGTTTTCCTGTTAGTCTGTGTCACCTTAAGATTCCAGAAAGTGATCAAACAGCAAGTGAGGGTCTCATCCCAACTCTGAGGGAAGAACTACCTTCAGTTTCACAGAGGCTGCAGACAGCCCGCCTTCTGTGCTGGAGGCCAGAGAAGAGTGAACAAACTCACTCCCGCTGGTCAGGCAGAGTTGGCAACTCTTCTTAACGACTGAATCCCAAGGCCAAACAGCTCTGCAACTCCTTGTTGCATCAGCCTCAGTCCGGTGAAGCGCACTTGGCATGTCCTATTTTTTAAGATTTAAAATAATAATAGATTTTACAACTCTCTACTGCAGTAGTTTAAAATCAGGATGTGTAATCAAAGTCTACCTCAGTTTGAAGCTGATAATAAAACATCAAAAAGTATTACAAAGTTAGAAACTGACTAAGAGAAGGTTGTGAAAATATATGTCTGGTATAGAGTATTAGCTGTGTATAAAAGGACTTGGCTTAATTATATTGCTTTTGGGCCTGAAAAAAATATTTGATTTTAAATTCTTTCCACATTAATTCCTAAGTAATTTTTCTCCAAAGACATATCTCCTGAGCCTCTTCTTCCGATCAACAGCACAGAGCACCGTCTGTACACTACGTAGGAGAATACCAGGATATTACTCACAGATCTTTAATTAAATCATTTGCCTTTTTAATTCTACTTCTCTTCCTTTCAGTCTCCCTCTTCCTTCTTCTTATGTTTCTTTATTTAGCAAAAACCTGGTCTGTAACACTTCCTTAAGTTCCAACCCCAGTCCTGCTATTCACTCCTTTCCTTTTTCCACAAAGTACCTTAAAAACATATCTACACTCACTTCCTAGCTCTTTAAACTACTTGAAATCAAGACTTTATCACCACATTAAAAAATTTCAACTGTTATTTGTTAAAATTAGTGACAATTCCCCTGTATCTCTAGCAATTGACAAAATTGGCAATAACGCTGTTACAATATTAAGAAAATTCATCAGCTGTTGGAAACCAGTTATGACGTACAGTATCCAGAATGTAATCTGTGTGTTCCCATTGCATCATTCACAACTCTCTTTGCTGTTTTCTTTGAGGCATAGCCTGGTCTCAGTTGTGCAATGAGTAATTAGGAAAAGATCTGTGTTCAGTATGGAGTAAAGAGGTTCTAAGAGCAGCATTTCCTCCCCTAAATCTGGAATGGGCAGAGTGGTGGTCTCAGCAGCCTCAGAGCAGCCCCAGAACAGCCCCTCAGGGGGGATGAGGAGACCTGGCAGATGAGCCAACTGGAGGGCTTTGTTTCTAAGCACCCCTAGGGCAGTAAACCGAGAAACTCACAGGAAGAGCTGAGGGAGCTCATTTCTGGCAGGTTGGGAACCCAGATCAGTCTGGTTTGGGTTACATGTGTCCCTAACAAATTTAAAGAAGATTAAAACAAATTTGTAGAAGACTCAGACAATAGAAAACCACACAGTGAATTTTCTGAATTTTAATCAAACACAGTAAACATTTGTTCAGTGTTTTCTAAGTATAGGAAAAGAAGGAAGTTGTAGCCTGTGTTCTTGAGAAATCCGCAGTCTATAGTAAAAACTCCAAATAAAAAGAGGACATCATAAGGCCCTTGAAAGTAGCCCAGAATTTTATGGGAGCGCAGAAAAAAGAAAAATGTGTTTCTGAGATGGGGATTCAGGTAAGATTTAAGTGGACCTGTGAGGGATGTAGTGCTGGTGTAGTCTAAAGAAGAAACCAGATAACACAGATGCAGGTATGAAATCCATTTCTATTGTGCACCAGTTAGGAATTGTGCTCAGGTATAAGCAACAGAAACCCCAAGGTATAAATTAAGCTTCGGTCTTTTTACCCAGCAAGAATTTCTGGACGGCTGACAGTGCAGAATCTCCTTCCCAGTACCATCAGTGTCCCAGGCTCCTCTCGTTTTTCTCTACAGATTTTAGTATTAGACTCTCAACCTGGTAGTCCCAAGATGGTCCCTGCTTCCCCAGGCTTCTCAGCCCTACTTCCTAAAGAATAAGGAGGGAAGAAGGGACATGGAAGAGACAATACAATATTGCCAAAATGCCCAGCAGACTGCCACCTAAATCTTCTTGGCTAGAATGACATTAGAAAGCTCACTTTTTGCTACAAGAGAGGTTGAGATATATAGTTTCTTGCTTTCTTTTTTGTTTTAGTTAGTCACACTGTTTTACCCTTCCCCCCCCAAAAAAATCAGGGTTCTGCTAAAGGAAAAAAAAAGGAAGAAAGAGTATTAGGTTAGTAACTACCAGGATATGCCACGTACCACTTACTAGTTGTGCAGCCAGTGTACAAATTACTAACACTTCTGAATGTCAGTTTCTTCACCTG